CCACGAGTCAGACAGCAGAGGGGGAACTTCATACTGAGTGAAACTGGCCTATTTGGGACATTTTGTTAGCCCCCCAGAAAGGCATCAGCAAAGATTCGCAACTGCCCCTCCTTAAAATTTAAAATACCAAAGACAAAGGTGGAGGCATTGTAAGGATCCATGACTCACTGAAGAACCTCAGACTCAAATAGCATGTAAATGCAGAGTGTTTTATTCTGCAGAAGTCCAGCATGCTGGGGTCTACTATCTATAAAGATGGAGACGTGAAGTGGAAACTTCTAGTTCTTTGGAAAGTTAGTTATGCCAAAGGAGGTTTTGCCAGGGCGCACAGGTGAGAGGATGTCTTGCTAGAGCAGACACGGGAAAGAATGCTTTCCTGAAGCAGACACAGGGGATAGGATGTTTGGATCTAGCAGACACAAAAAAGGATGCGTGATGGAGGAGTGTAAGTATGATCCCACAGACAGTGAGACAAGCACTCAACTTTGGTTTGGTTTGCTCTGCCTCATTTTTAGATAACAATGCACATGTATTGGTTCACCTTACATAGTGTTGTTGAGCTCAACTTGTGGTAACGCTGCCATTGAGAAACTCACCCAAGAACTGCTCAGGAGGCTCCTGTAGTAGTTTGCTGCTTCTGCAGTCTCTCCTCAGGCCAGATGGCGAGCCTGGCAGTTTCTTCAGGATTGGATTACAGCTGCTAGTTTGTGCCTGCTGTCTGCTTGCTGAAAGGACTTTGTAGCTGCCGGTTCGTGCCTGGTGTCTGCCTACCTAGAGGACTGGTCTGCAGCCGCTAAGTATCTGGTGTATGCTACAGGATTGAACTGCTGCCCAAGAAGATAGCACTCATGCCCAAAGAACTATTGCTGAACAGGTCCACTTCCCTTATATCCTAATAACTCTGGGTATTGAGCTAGAGGAGAGGTTGAATCCTTAATAATAATCGTAGGTTGCAAAAATGTTATGCCTACAGAGACACCACAATGATTCTGAAGGTCTGATTTAAAGCACATAGGGGATTCTGGGGAGGCCAAGTGGTGGGGTAGCTTCTGAGGCCTGGACTTGCCCAGTTCTTGGAAACAGAGGTCTAGGCCTCGTCTCCTGAACTGCCAATTTGAAACCTATTATGGAGTCAGCCTAGCATGTCTCAGCATCAGGGTTTTGTTGAGTCCCCTTAAAGGAAAACTACTTTGATTAAAAAATCAGAATCTGGAGCCAGGCATGGTGGTCTTTAGTTCCAGCACTCTGGAGGTAGAGGCAGGCATATCTCTGAGAGTTCAGCCTGGTCAGCCTGGTCTACAGAGAAAATTCCAGGACAGCCAGGGCTACACAAAAAAACCTTGTTTCAAAAAACCAAAAAGCTTGGACTCATTCTATCTGGTACTATGGGTGGAGCCTGAATTTTACTTTGCCTTAAAGACCATTACATGCCAGGCAGTGGTGGCGCATGCCTTTAATCCCAGCACTTGGGAGGCAGAGGCAGGTGGATTTCTGAGTTCTAGGCCAGCTTGGTCTACAGAGTGAGTTCCAGGACAGCCAGGGCTATACAGAGAAACCCTGTCTCGAAAAACCAAAAAAAAAAAAAAAAACAAAACCAAAAAAACAAAAAAAAAACCAAAAAAAAACCCAAAAAACGCTTATATGTCCCTGGCTTTGAAGAGTCTGGATTAGCAAGCTGGGCAGCCATACATAGGTCCTAAAGGTAGCTTGAGATAGGTTGAGGGCTACGATAAAGGCTGTCTTGACAATAAATCCCACTGCCTGTCTGTGAGATTGGGATGTGAGAGAAAACAAGGTGACAGACATCTTCCTCCAACTAGAGGCCCTCTGTGGGTCAAAGTGAGTTCTTCCCAATATGAGTGCCAGGGAAGGGCTTGGAAGAGTCACTCACTCCCCAGGGGGACTCTTCCCAGCCAGGGCACAACTGCAGAGCACACTGAGGCTCATCTGTTCTCTGGAAATAAAGGGCTCCCCAAGCCAGCGAAGAAGTGACTTCTAACATTTCTTTAGTGTTCCCTGTTTTGTTTCAGTAAGAAAAGAAGCTGTTTGATACTAAATTACCTCTTAGAAAGCATAACAAGCCACTAATCTTTCTTAGCACAGACTCCTGAAAAGTTAGAGCAGGGCCAATACATGGGTAAACTTAGGGACAATTCAAAACAAACAAATAATACTGTTCCCCAGTATATTGGCACTCTTTTTATAGGGAAGACCCTTAGGTTGTTGTTGTTTTTTTTTTTTAGCAGATCTGAGTCTATTAGGAAATTATGGTAGTAAGAGACCCAAGGAGTGTCCCTGACGTAAGAACAGCCTGGTTACAGCAAATCAATCTTATTTGGCAAAGAGTGGACAAACCTTGTTAGATCATAAAATTACTATTCATTTACTTGGTAACACTTAATTTTAGGGAAGACCTTAAATTAGTAACTATTGAGCTAGGTACAAAGGGCCAATGGAAGCGCAAAGCGAAGTTTCACGTTTGAGGCACCAAACAGCAGAGGCCACTGGGAAATGAGTAAGGCACACAAGGCTCCTACCTAACTGCTGAAAGGAAATGTGGGAAGCCTTCAGTCAGCACACTTTGCCTCCATTCCCCAGAATCTGGGCTGCTACTTGCTGCCTGTGTACTCTTTGATAGCTAATGTGTTGACCCAGGGACTGAGCACAAGAGGAATTCTTGTTTTGAGTAAAGGAAGGTGTGAATACAAGACCTGATACAGAAGGCGTTGGCCACACTCCTGCAGAGCAGATGGACTGTACAAACAACCCTTTCCCAGCACAAATTCAGAACAGTGTTGTCTCTTGGAGGTCAGAAAGAACTATAAAACATTTCTTATAAAAGTAGTTTTTAATAAATTGATGTATTTCAATGTTGTAACATGATAACCCAATGCTATATCAAGGTAGCAAAAGTGAAGGTTCCTGGTGTTTTATAAACACTGTGAATGACAGTACACTTGCATTCAACTTCACAGAAATTCTCTTCAGGTCCATGAAGATTCGTTGACAGCTGTCCCACTTGTTGACAGTGATGTGTGTGAATAGATCGAGCAGACAATGAAAGTCTAACAATGAAGCTACACTCTCAAACCATATGGGCACGAATGGGATGTAATGACAGGATGGCCAACTGCTAAAAACAAAACAAAACAAAACAAAACAAAAAAACAAAAAACACAAAAAACCCCCCTAACTTTTAAAGTTAGTCATTTAAAAAGAAAACATAGCATACACCAAAGCTACAGTAAATATATAATGGAGCCATAAGACAACACATGGGTTAGAGCCGTAAAGCAGTGGACGTGTTTCTACCCGTCTTAGGATGGAAGAAGCCATGGAAACAGAGTCCTGCAGCTGCCTGCAGTGCCTAATACACACACACACACACACACACACACACACACACACACACACACACAC